AAACTTTTTATCCAAGTCAAAACCAATATACACTCGCGCGCTCATACAAGCAGAGTGGAGTGCTAAAAACATTCATTACCACTCTCCAAGCAGGCATTCATTAAAGTAGGCTTTGAGTCGGTGTTTTATTAAAACTGTCGCAGGCTTCGGAATATTGCATTTCGAGCACTACTTAGCTAGGCGCCTGGCACCATTCCAAAACCCCAAAATGCTATCTTTACTTAGAGTATACCGATTATTGTGGAATTCGAACTAAACTTTTATTATCATACTAACGATTTCACTGGTACTTAGTTGACGTGTTATTCAACTTTGTCACGAGGGAGGGACTTGTGATTTTTTTAAACTTAAAAACAACGCAAAAAAACTTAAAAGCAGCACACACACATACACAATTAAATCGTACCGTGTTCTTTGAAAGAAAAAAACGTGTGTCTACTTATATACACGCGTTAGAAGTTATACTTCTTTGGCGTAACAAGATAAAAATCTTTTCAAAAAATTTATTCTACGTTTGTAGAAAAACGATACTAACAATAGAAAAAAATAAAACGTTGAACTACAGCTAACTTCAGGGTGTTGGTTTTTTGTGACGCTGTGCGCGCGCATCGTAAAAATTTAATCTAATCATTTTTCCCTAACGCGCCAAAAGAAGTATAACTTCATAAATTGTTATCTTTCATTATTTTTTATATTTTTTTGATTATTGTTAGTTTGTGTGTTTATGTGAGTTTTTTATTTCCCTTTCAGCTCCTCATTAAATCTCCTCTATAGTAATAAATGTTATGTCTATGTTAAAAATAACTTATTTTAAATCTTTAGTTTTAAATTAAGTATGAATCGGACAGAATTTTAGAAAAACAGGCGCTACAACTATAGGTTTAGCCTCATGGTTATATATATAGATATATATGTTTGATGGTTTTTCTTTATAGGCAAGACCAGCCGTCAGTACGTTAAACACAGTGGATTTGGTTCTTAGGCGTACTAGTTATTATTATTTACGCAGACAAATTCTTATGCAAAAAAAAGGGAACCTAAGAAAATTTACGTTGTAAGATAGATTTCATATTCATATTTATGGACCATAACGCTCGCCCACACCATTCTGACCCCGTGACGCCCATGCAAGAAGTTGGGAACCGTCATTTAGATTAGTCAGATCGACTTTCCTAACATCTATTAGAAATGTATCCTCAAATTCTAATCAAATCTTCAGATTAACGTTCAAAGCATTATTGATAAAATAAATTAATGACGATAACTTCGAACGCTACTTTTATGCTAATTCTTAACAGAAGTTGAGGGTTCAACAAAAACACAACTTCTCAGGAGGCGAAAAACTTTATAAAAGCAGATATAGCGTTGTTAAAGTACATTTTTAGTAGAAATAAGGAGCTGAAAGGGATACAAAAGAAAATAATTAGCAGTAGTTTTAAGCAACTCCCATTAACGACCTCATTTACGAGCGCTTACGGAGGTTTTATGGCACCTGGTAATTGTTTTGTAACTAAATTTAAATGTAACGCAAGAACGTAAGTATAATATAGAAAGAATGCTTTAATCAAGTATTAGTTAAGTTATACATTTTAGATTTTATAACATATCCTATTAAGCACATTCCGAGAAAAAGGACAAAGTACTTTTTGAAGAATATTTATGTCCGCTATGAATTTACCACGAGCAGTGTTGGCCTAGTGGCTATGCACCAATGAACTTTCTTTCTATGTGCGCATTTAACATACGCTCGAACGGTGAAGGAAAACATCGTGAGGAAACTGACATGTGTTAGACCCAAAAAGTCGACGGCGTGTGTCAGGCACGGGAGGCTGTTCACCTACTTGCCTATTAGATTTAAAAATGATCATGAAACAGATTCAGAAATCTGAGGTCAAGACTTAAAAAGGTTGTAGCGCCATTTATTTATTTATTTATTATGAAGTTACTATATTTACTCAAGTACAATAGAAATCTAAACTAGCAAAGGACATTAGATGTTAGGATTTTCATATAGTTTTTGGAGCAACAATGCGATATACCTAGAAAAGTACAAGAAGTTTTAACTGATTAAAATTAAGGTTATTCGAAACCCGATGTACGATAACAATTCGATGGCTATCGAGTTCTGGTCAGTAAAGACCACTTCCAAACACAGATACGCCAGCGTTTAAGGTCTGAGGGCAGTTTTACAAATCCAATACAAGCCCTTTAAAAAAGTAAAGCCAACTTTTACATGGTACTAAAGCAAATAGGTTCTAAGATGAATATCCTGAGATAGAATTAAGTGGCTTTGTAATATGATTGTTGGCAAAGCTCGTAACGAGCTTTCCCTGAGGGACCTACGAGCTAACGTCTTAGGCTATTTTCAGTTCTAATAAGGCTCTGTTTTCGTAGCTGCGAACATTGATTTTGTGGATATGAACGGATATTAAATTTGCATTAAAATTATATTAGTTTGATATATACTGATATTCGTTGAACTGTTATGTGTCTTCAAAGCCGCCATAGCACTTTAAGTTGGATAATATTAGGTCCTTATATATAAAATTGGCGTTTTGTCGAACTGGCCAATTTGACATCAACTATCTCCTCTATGGTTAGGAATTCCAAGTTCAGCTATTTACTCGTGCATTTGTTGTTCGAAAACCATGATTAGTTGCCTCACTCTATTTATAAAAAAGAATAGAAAATATGAAATATCGCGTTATGTACGAGTATGAGTTTCACCGTGGCACCAGTGCTGCAGAAATGGCTCGAAGGATTAATTAAGTGTATGGCGGCGGTGTCGCAAAAGAAAAAACAGTGCGTTTTTGTTTCGAACGTTGTGGTTCTGTAAATTTTGACCTGCAGAACAAGCCCCGTAGACCGCCGGAGACCAAAGTTGATAACGAAGAATTGAAGGCTATTGTGGAATCGGATCCATCGCAAACCATGTCTGCGTTAGCTGCAGGCTGCGGTATTAGTTATACAATCTTTTATATTTTATGAAATATACACACAAATAGGCTGTGTTGTTCAATAGCGTCAAGGTAAAAATTTAAATAGTACATACATTCTCTCATAAAATATCATTAAATCCAGATCAACCCTGATGTAGGTCTTGGTTACATCTACTTCTTGACGAGTAGGTAATTAGCCTTCTTCTGCTTCTGACACTTGTCAACTATTTATGGTACATGCCGGTTTCCTCAAAAACACCTAAACCACAAGATTAATACTTATAATAAATTACACAAAATTGAGAAGTAACAAGTAAAACTAATAGTCCACTTGTTGATTAACATGTTACGCTCAAGTTCCTCGAAGATTAATGTTTTATTTGCATGATTCAGCGAAAGTTTATTCATAAGTTTGTGACGCAGAACTAAGCGTTTGGACTTAATCAATTAATATCCACACAATAGGTCTAGATTATAATAATAAATATGAATATATACATATATACTAGGGGTGTTTAATAAAATATTATAATCAGTATGGCGCAATTATTTCATTTAATTTTTTGACGTAGACCTTTCATCTTGCTAATGCAAAGATTCCTTTTTAAGAAAAATCTTTCTTCTTCTCGTGTACAGCAGAGACGACCAGTGCATCCCGTGAGGAGGTCTTCATTAATGATAGTTCTTCCTCGCTTGAACTCGGCACATCAACGCCACCACCGCGCAACCGTAGAGCTCTTAAGTCTTGATATTTAGTACTATTTAGTAACAAATTAATTATTAATAATATAAAGGAGCATGGGGTTATGCTAATGTTGCTTTGTAGTACAATTTTTAAAGCAGAGATACATATTATTATCGAACTTTAAATTTATAAATTTTTAAGAACACGTTCCGATACGACGCATATTCGACTTCTATTTTTAAAAACAAAACATTTTGATTGATTTTTGAATATTATATAGTGCAATGCCTGTGTTATGCCTGTCCGTATTTTTTGCAGAATATTCCGCATTATCACTATTAATCAAACACCCCTCGTATGCAATCCTTTGTTCCAAACAAATTTCACACAATAAAATAATACTACTAAGAAATTGTTTTTATGTTAGTTTAGAGTAGATATATTTTACACTTTTCATCAAAATTAGTAATTAATGCGATGTAAAACAACATTCATGTTTATTTTCCGATATAATATCTAGAAAAATTACATAAAATCATTAATACATTATTATTATGATATAAATATATTCAAATAATAATAATACTATTATAAAAATACATTTTTTTAGACACATACATATTTCTTTGTTTACCATCCCCAATTAATGTTTAGCCAGACATCAAACCATATAAAGTTTACGTGGAATTCACTAACCCCTATACTAACACTATACAGAGATAAATTTCTAAGCAAACTGAACACAGGCATAATATTATATTGATACAACTCCTCGAAGTTAAAGGCCGGGCGGGTCGCAAATTTTCTGTTTTTAAACCGGTGTTCGGAAGATAAATAAAGGGATCGTTATTGGAGAGTTGGTAATGAAGAGTACTCGAGGGCTTAGCCGGGCTTCCCTGGACCTCGCGATGCACCAACCCTTAATTGAATACCCCGGGGCTAATCGCACCCCTAGGGTGGCCAGATATTAAAGTACATGAAGTAGATGGATGATACGTAGAGTACGTATCACATCCATCAAACTTTTATTATTTAATATTATTCGTGTTTTATTTCAGTTTATGTCAGTCAACTTTATTAACATACTAAGATAAATAAAAGTAATTTAATTTACATTCATTACAGCTTTGTTAAGAAACAATTCTGAACTAAAACGATCACATAAATTTGTAATATGGATCGACTAAGTGCAGTTTTTAGATCTTAATTTTTCAAATTAAAATATAATTGTATCGTAAAAAATCGTTTATCGGGCTGTGGTTCAAAGATAGAACAAAGGTTGAGTGCTCCTAGTTTCCCGGATTTCCCAGGCACACAGCACCCCTAAGCTCAGCTGAGAGCGTGGGGTGTTTGCGGGGCGCGCGGGACGGCAGGGGATGGAGCCACGCGGGCTGGCCGCGCCCCCTGCGCGCGCCGCTCGTCCCGGGCAGCTCATTCAAGTAGCGAGCGCGCCCCTAGCCAGCCGCAACCCTCAGGTATGTCCATTTTGCTTTTGGTGTTTGCTCCGACGTGTACCGTTCCGCGCTCCGCGAGTGTACCGAGTGTACGTGTACCGTGCCGGCAGGTACGTGTGTCTAGTGACGCGCTGTGACAGTTTAGGCTAGTATAGATTTGTGTCGTTTTTATTTAACACAATAATTTATTATTGCACCTCGTGCTTAATGTCTGCATGTCCTGAGCTTTTTTTGTTTCGATGTGACATCAGGTAAGTCCGTTTACAATTTGATAATTCCATGTTTTTTATATAACGAATTACTTTTTAAACTCACAAGTTTTTTTAATTTAATAGATTTTTTAAATCAATACGTGTTAAATATTTCAAATTGTGCAAACTAAATGTAGTCGCGTTAAGATTAAAAGAGGTTGAGAATAAAATCAATGCGGTTCATCCGGTAGCGAGTTGAGAGAAAATTTCTAGAGATGTCGATAATCGGGGTGGGAGGGGTCGAGACTCGGAGGCTGGGGACTAGACGACTTTCACTGGCGCCACACTTCACCTTGTCGCCTGGCGTGGTGCCAGGCTCTACCGCTAAGTAGATAGGCACATAATTTTGATACCAATTAAGACAATTCTTAAAAAATCAGTATAGTAGACTTATACTCAAAATTCGGCAAAATGGGATGAAAAATTATTAACATCAAGTATTTTCCAACTATCGGAGAGATATGATTTTATAAAAGTTAAGGCAAGAGTACATTTATATATAGTTGCTTTATGTGTCGTGTCAATGTTGTCTGCAAGTTTGCGTATTGCACTTATATATGTATTGTAAAACTATAATATTCATAAAATCTTCGCACCGATTCGAATGATTATAGGTATTTTATGGAAGTTATCAATTAAAAAATCTAATTTTAGTCACGGCCTATATTCATGTTTTATATTTATGTATTACGCGTGAGTATTTTTACACGCGAGGGTGTATTTAGGGGAAAATTGATTGAGTACGCGACGTGCTACGCTCCGTAGCACTCGCTACGATAGCGCGCTCCAAACTTTCGTTTCGCATTTACGCTTTTCTCGTTGCAATTATATTTAACTTAATAGTGGGCTGTGAAAAATAATTGTATATTTGAATATATTATTTGACAATAACATAGTGTCTCATAATTAAGAATGTAAGTACAGCTTGTTGTAGTAAGATATTTGCTACAATTGATTTAAATTTTGTATTTCTTTAAGTCTAAAAATACAATGAGATCTTTGTTAAAAATTATGAATTAATTCAAGTCTAAATAGGTTTTGATTGCACTAAACATAATTTTGTGGTAAGTTAAATTTTATAATCAGTTACATTAAATTAAAAGCGTTAAGAAAGCTCCGAGCCGTTATTATTTAAGATTTAACAAAACTTTATTAATTAAATACCGTAACTGTCCAAGTATGAAATTACTACCCGTGAGATAAACCCGGTTGCCAGAACTTTAATAAGTATTTACAAACATGAAAATATTACGCAGAGAATAGAATTCCTTTAGAATAGGAATTCTTCTGACCCGGTAGCCGCAAAAATTTAATTAAATAACAAAGAGTTTGATATTATAATAATTAGAGTATTCTACAAAAGTTTTTACAATCACACAATATTTGTAACCTGCATGTTTTACGATTTTATTGATTATCAGAGTTCGATAACCATACTATCAGTGCAAGTGCTTCAACGCCTGTCCATTGATAGTAGTGATAAGAATTATTTTAATTGCACCAAACTAGGGACATATTTTCGTTTTTCAATTAATATAGTCAGCGCTTTAATATTTTAAACCATGTAAATTTTCGGTTTATTCCGTTATATCTTGTATCAGTGAAGCTAAAAAAATTATTTGTTGCCAGCTAAAGTTTAATAATAAAATAATTTTTAATCAATATAACTTTAACCTCACGTAATGAAGGCATCATTGTATAATACTAAATTATAAAAGCTTTATGTAACACTTTCTAAAAAAAGGAACTTAGTCACGCGTAATCCAAGTCTGCTTGAGACGGTAGTATTCAGGGTCGACAACCAAAGTTTGTGACGTACCCTCAATCTATTTGCGCAAAAGTAAACATATACATGGTCAAATAACCAGTCTTTGCACGGCCTTTTGATTCTATAACACTTTAAAATAATTCCAGTTACAGCTAAAATAACTAAGTCTAATTACAATGCGACCCTTTCTTTGTATCGTATGAGTGTATAATAAGTAGTCGTATGTTAATAGAGATTGTAGCGATAAAGGCAGTCGGGGTTAGGGCATATAGATCAAAGGGGCGAATAAACTGTGGCTTATCGGATTCCGTGCATGTACTTTCAATTTAAATAAAAATTGAACTTAATGCTATGTTACAAATATAATATTCTTAAAATTATTTTTTAATAATTTAAAAGCAAAACAATTGATAATTTTTCCAGTACCAGCCATGAGTAGTATTTATTTTCAATTGATTTTTCATAATTAATTTTCACCCGTTGGCCTAGTGGCTTAGCGTGTCTGTCATATCTGAGTTCGTAGGTTCGATCCCCGACTGTGCACCAATTTACTTTCGTTCTATGTGGGCATTTAACATTCGCTCTAACGGTGAAGGAAAACATCGTGAGGAAACCGACATGTCTTAGACCTAAAAAGTCGACGTGTGTCAGGCACAGGCTGATCACGTACTTGCCTATTAGATGAACAAATGATCATGAAACAGATATCTAAGGCCCAGACCAAAAAAGGGATTTCCTTTTTATTTATATTTAGCCCGTTGCTACTTCAAAAATATTTAGTATAAAATATTGTCTGATGGTACTCGCGCTTTATAAATTAAACTTCAACATATTATGTGAAACACTCTCACCGTAATAGTAATACATCTCGTTTGGTATAATATTATATCTTTTTTTATACGGCACTCGTACTCTCATAATTTGACTTGAAGCTTGCGACGTCAATGTTAAGTTTTTGTGTTCAAATGATTTAAATTAAAATTCATTATTCCCGTATTCGAATAGTCCTATTAAAGTTGCGTGACAAAATGGTCGTCAGTTTTGGTATTAGAACTTACACAGTATAGGCACTGTGGTTGCTTAATTCAGTATAAAAAGACTTTAGTTGTAGGGGTGATTCATATTTAAAATAGGTTAAATCCCCGAGGATAATCAAAAAATATTGATCATTATATTGTAATGCGAACTACAAAATTAATAAGCCGGCTTCCCTGCCATATTGCGTGACGCGTGACGCATACGACATGTGCGCAGGCGACTGTCAATAAGCGAGCAGCTGCGTACGTTCACCCCGGCTAGACAATACTAGGACAATAACACCCTGTATTTTGGTGATTAATCCAACCCGCATTGTCTAGCGTCCTGCGCACGCGCCACTATTGCATTTATTAATATTTAATGCATTTAATGTGCACTATTTAATCTAAACTCGTTTTCAATGAAGATTAAATTCTCGACAAAATGTATGTTAATTTTATACTTATAATTTTATTACTGTATTAGCTTTTTACTGGCTTATTGGCAGAACTCGTTTGAAGTTAAGAGGGTGAATAATAAAACTACAATAAACTAAGACTTTTCACATTGTCACAAGTATATTAATCCTAGGTAGCACAGGTAATAAGACATAATTTAATAACGAAATCTTTCTTTAAATTATTTTAAAGAATTAGAGGCGCTACAACAACTTAAATTTTTTTTTTCTGAACCTGTTTCATGATAATTTTTAAATCTAATAAGCAACTAGGTGCTCAGCCTCCAGTGCCTGACTTTTTGGGTCTAAGACAAGTCGGTTTCCTCACGATGTTTTCCTTCACCGTTCGAGCAAATGTTAAATGCGCACATAGAAAGCAAGTCCATTGGTGCACAGCCGGGGACTCTCGCATGAGAGTCGCACGCTGAAATCACTAGGCCAACACTGCTCCCAGCTCTCTTAAATTCTTTAAGAAAATACATTTATTAAAAGAGACAATTAACGATTCCCACTATATAACGTGTGACCCAACTCAATTCACACATCAATGTGACCCATTTAATTATTATTGACCCCATATTGTGAATCGACTCTTAGGAACAATAGTTGAATTAAACAATCGATCCATCGATTTTTATAGCGACAGCTGCGGGGTGGGGCCGTGGTGAAATGCGGGGTGACATTTTCACGGATTTCGACTATCTTTGTTTAATTTATAGAGTACTATAGGGCTTTTACTTGAATGCCCATACGAAAGAAATCTTTGTGAGAAAACGAGCACGTCCTCAACTCGAAAGTCGACGGTGGATGGCAGCTACAGTAGGCTGATATCCTACTTGTTATAATAACAATAACTTTTTACTTATATCACTACAACACTAAACCACTTGATATAAAAATAACAAATGTTTACAGATTACAGTGTTATTTGTTGTTTCTTAAATATAAAGTATGTCGGTTAGGTCTACACTGTACTTGTATTTCCAGATTAGAAATTGGGGCTAAAACCGAAAGTTAAATTTATAGGCATGCTTAAAATTTGTTCATATAAATCCCGTACCCCAGTGTTAACACTGGGCGATTAATGCTGAAATTGTCCCTTTTCATCACAGCGTTAACATAATTTATCAGAAAGAGACAACAGTATTTTATTGTTTCTCATATCATTAAAAACAACAAATTTACTTATGCGTAAACCATACAACGTAAAATCAATTATAAATATATAATTTCAACGCTTAATCGTATCCGCCACGCGTCTAAAACACCCCTCGCTTTATATCCATTATTCAATATTATTAAAATCGTCTAAAATAATTGATTCTGTCGTATTTGTTACAATGCCTGAGACTCAATGACACTTTATTGAAACAAATGAACAAATATTCTCAATGCATATAGTTTTGTAAAGATGCAGATTTTGTATTCACTCTTGATCTGCGACCCAAAATGTGTCTAAGCCTCGAAAACCTAAAAAATCTTTGACCGCTCCTAGAGCATTCAGCAGGCCCTCGGAGGAGGGCTGGATTGATAGACTGGAGAGTCTATGAATCCAGCGGTACGTACGTGTAAATTCTGTATTAATTAATTATTAATTGCTCTCTGTACAAGCAAGATGGCAAAGCTTGTATTATGTATATTTATTTTTTATTAACCGGTGATCAGCCTTCTGTGCTTGAAGATTTCGTGTCTTGAACGTCCCGGTTTCCTCGCTTTTCGTAGCGTAAAGACGGATTTCAAACGTACAAACTCAGGGTTGACAGTAGCGCTCATAGACACTAATAATGACAGTTAATTATTAGTTAAATGTAGCATATTATGGACAAATACTATAAAATTTGATAAAGCAAACCTTGATGAACAGTGTTGGCCTAGTGGCTATTTAATGAGGTCGTAGGTTCGATCCGCGGCTGTGCACCAATGGATTTTCTTTCTATGTGTGCGCACATATTTACATTAACATTTGCTCAAACGGTGAAGGAAAACATCGTGAGGAAACCGACATGTCTTAGACCCAAAAAGTTGACGGCGACTGGAGGCTGATCACCTACTTGCCTATTCGATTGAAAAATGATCACATGAAACAAATT